CCAATAGGAGGCAAAAGGAGGCAAAAATAAATGAATCTCTATGCATAAGTACACATCATGTGAAATTGAAAAGAAGAAGATTTTTATATTATCGAAGGATCAGGTCATTGTGAACTTGTAATTAAGCTCATCTAGATACTAACACCTACATATCTTCTTCTGTTAGAAAGAAAATAAAAGGAAATAATAAACTTACTCCCATGGATCATCTCCAACAAGAAGAACATCATTTTCATAGTCAACGTAAACTAGTTTCCATTCTGAACCTTTATGATCATCCAGCTGCCCATCAAGCCCAAACATGCATGCTATTGCAGACCTTAGTTCATGGTAATCTTTAAAGCGCGTCACATCAATTGACCTCCCAACAGATCCTGATTTTTGTACCTATATAAGGAAAAAATTATACTCCATATCATTGCAAGTTCAAAACAAAATTTATAACACAAATCAGATAAATGAGAAATCAAAGTTTATACCTTTGTATATGTTCGTAAAGGTTGTAGAGCCATTTGTTTCATTGAACATCTATTAAGGAAGTTTCTTTCATTAACATCCATTCTGGCAGATGAAGTACCCCCTGATCCCTCAGGAATTTCTTGTGGAGGTAGAAATTGAGAGTCTGCTAGATTCGATGAAGTAACTTGAGACTGCAATTCTTGATTGCAGGTGAAGCTACTAAACAAATCTTCTGAAGAAACACAAAAACCAGAATCTCTTACCGCACTGAATCCTTCTAATATTGTACTTGAGACACATGACCTCCCTATCATATTTCCATTGCTAGCTTCAAACAGTAGGTTGCTGAAAGTTTCGCTTTGGTTAAAACTCTCATCAGACAAGTCCCTCATTCCACATGAATTAGTTACTTTTTCCAAGTCATTCTCCCGTTCATCAGCTGCCCGGTTACCTGGGTTATTTATTACTTGGGCACTGAAAAATTCTGGTACGTACGAAGGTAGACGGTTGGGGGTACGGGGTTCTGAAAAGCAAGAGAATTGAAATGACTCAAAGGGAATAAGTGCTTCTGAATCCACTATGGAAGATATATCAGCTGAAGGACTGGTAGAAATATCTGACGCTAATAAAAACAAGGAATCTTGGATGCCAAGGCTAGATAACAATTCAGGTTCATTTGAAGGGACAGAAAAAGATTGGCAGCACGAATTTTGTTTATCAAATGAATATACTGATGCTAAATCTGGTAATTGAGCAGAAGTTGGGTCAGGATTGCAAAGATGTACTTTTTCTTGGTCCTTTGGCTCTAGTTCTTGATCAATAGTTTTTGGAGATTCACGGTCCTTTGTCTGTAGTTCTTGTTCAGTCACAACATTCTTTGCTCCGTCAGAATTCTCAGCCACTTCTTGCAACAATGATCTATCACAATTTCTCTCTAAGTTCCTGCTCCTATACTCCTTACCTTTCTCTAAAGAAGCTTTCTCTAATAAAGTAGTTACCATTGGTTGATGTTCTTGCTTCCCAACATTAGTCTCAGGTGCACTTTCTATATGAACTACAGGCTGCTCCACGCTACAGAGAATCTGTTGCTGTACAAGAGGGAGCTGTTCCTGATGCAATGGACTTCTTAGTGCACTAATTGTTGGTGATGAGGACAAGGGTTTAGAAATGCCATTCCCTCCAATTTTCTGTAAAATGCTTGCATAAATTGATTGATGGCATCTCAACTGATTATCCGGACTTGGACTTTGAGATGAATGAAGCATCTTCAAGAGTTGGTCCGAACCAACACCAGAAAGCATTGAATGGATGTTCCCAGTTCCACTTTCTAAAGCCCGTGGTAAGGTTTTCACATTTCCAGATCCAGTTTCCAACCCAGGAACTGTGAAGTTTGGCAGAAGAAGGATCGACTTTTAGATTACTATATCAGAAATCAAGAAAGATCACATACATCGATGCACATGTTCAAAATTGATTTGAGCAATGGATATAAGTGGGTGCTTATTATAATTTTGAAAGGAAAAGAATGCAGAGCATATAGAAATGAAACATTAGCAAATAAACAAATCTCATATTATGGCAATATACTAGTCCTGAATTTTTGGATTGGCCCGTTACATCCAATAAGAACCATTTATTGATTTACGCGAGAGTATTTAGTATTTTGTACAAAGATCAAAAGACAGATACTTCTAGTTTCCCTAGTCGTGCAGCGAAAAGCCAGTAGTGGGCTGAACTTCACAGATTTCAGAATTAAATTTCCTATCATTTAATTAAATAGAATTGTCCCCTATTATTCTTTGTGAAATATTTACTACTCTTTAAATTTGTAGGCGCAGATCTGTTGACTCGTACATACACAACACAAGCATCAACCATGCCACTAAGTTGATGCTTTAAAATGCAAAATGACTTGTTAAATCTAGTTGATCCTAACTTGCACCCACCTACGACCCATCTTGACTCCAGTTATCTCTACTTCGCGTATGAATACAGGTTTGGTTTATTTTGACATCAGAACAATCTAATTACAGTTCTCTTTTTTCAGACAGAACATGATTTGCATAGTAACTATCTGCTTGTCCAAAATTACCATTTCGATCTAACTAGATAAGGAATAAATGAGTAGAAAAACAATTAGTAGATACAATAACTACATGAAAAACTAAAATACCTTGTTAACTGGTAAGTGAAAGTGCAGTTACAAGACTTACCTCCAAATCCAGGCAGACATTGTCGCTTCAAACTTGGTGTAGGCACTGTAGGGTAAACAAAAAAATTTTCAGGAGTCTCAATTTCCCATAGGCTTACCCTTCCTGGTTTCTCACCATAACCTTGTTCATCCCATTCTACCTAATAAAGACATAAATAAGACTTAGCCTTCAAAGATTCCGCTGGTCCTTGATACTAGCAGAAACGCTTCATTCAACCAAATGTAGATATGAATTCACCTGTAAATTCCGCCAATTTGAGTTCGGCCATCTTAATGGATCAAAATCGCTAATACCTGCAATTGTGCCCATATATCTGCAGCAGAAATAAATCAGAAGAAAAGGTTAGTTACATGTCCAACGACAAATATATGTACAAAATCAGTATTCGTTTGACAGCAGTTCTAAAATAGTTTGTTGACAATAATACTAATACAAATTAACAAAAAAGAACGTTTAGGAAACAAAAAAAAAAAGTGCAAAAGCAATATTCATTGGTTCTTCGACTAAGATCTCAATTCATTGATAATAATACAAATCAGCAAAAATTTAAATTTCTAAACAAAGAATTCGTTTCAGTGTGCAAAGACATAATTATAAAACATGGTATTTTGTTAAAATTTGGAAACTCTCCATATAAGCAAATCACAAAATGGTACATATAATACTACAACTTACCTTCGTTTTGTTGATTCCTCTGTTTCAAACATCATCCCAAATCTCATTCCAATTGACAGTTGAGAATATACAACTTTATGGTACTTGGCCAAAGGAATGATGAATTCTGAAGGACATGCTCTGAGAATACACAGCTTAAAAAAAATAAACAAGAATGCACAATGAAGGTCATATATAAGCAACAAACTACCTTGGATTATAGTAAATAGTAAATGGGCTCTGACTAGCTGCAGCATGAGCTGCAGCAGCAAGAACACCGATATGCATACTATCGGTAGACAGCACAGATGATGACAATGCAGTTTGCTGACGATTCGAACGTCTAATACCCAAACGCAATTGTGACTTCTTGTCCCTGCATACATCACCATAAACAATTTTAATGATTATGACCATCATAAATTCAACTATAGCTGGATAAAACAAGATATATCTGCAGCTTTTCTGTTTTGCTTAAAAATGACATATTCATGGCTCCTAACCGGTTTTATCATAAATTTTTGCAACTTTTACCACAATAACCCATTAGCACATTGGTTTGTTGACGTTATCATCTGAAGTGATAAAACTATATGGATAACTGTAATAGAAGAGGAACTACAACTTTTCTTCAGAAAAAAAACTTTTTTTTTCTTACTTTCAATGCCCAAAGTCTAGGACTACAATTATATATTATGATATCACTTTAAGTTGATTAAAGAACAGGACATTAACTATGCGGATGCATAACTTCGGAATTACCTAACGAACAAAACAGAATCACCAGCTTTAAGCCGTTTGGTGCCCACAAACAAACTCCAACCAGTTGTCAAAAGATGTCGCTTTGGCTGTCCTGCAAAGAACAGAAAGATTCAGAACTCAATCAGCAGGGAAAATTTTTTAATGAAGTGAGTTTGGTGCCCAAACCAGAGCTTAAAATCTCATAGTAAGAGAATGATGTATATAATTCAAGATAGATCCCTTTTATGTGACAAATGTACCCACCACGGTATATATGACGAAATGTCCACATGTTATCATGTAAATCTCTAACTATGAGCTCTTGATTTGGAGATTGCATTGAATAATCCTGTAAGAGGTGAGTATGAAATTACATGCAGAAATAAAAGTAAATCAGGTTTCTTGTTCTAGTTCACCCAAATGTCCTCACCAATTGAGGAAATAGCTTTTCTGCAGCCCTTCTAGGCACGGAAAAACCGCCATGAGTACTTGTATCACTTGCGGTTAAATTCTTACAAAAGAACTCATTTGGCTGCTTGCTCATTGCATGTCCGAAATTTGGAATTGGAAAGACACCACCTTCCTGAATAAAATAGGACTGTTAGATTTATTTACTATTCTCTTAGTTTATGTCCTTTGTACTACTTACTCCAACATAAACCATCATAGGGATTTTGGAATTAAAAAACAAAACAATAACCATCATAGGGATTCCAAATTTTTGAACAAATTATACAAAGAATTATTTTGTATCAAAGAACTCCAGAGATCAAGTTCCAATATTCAGTCATATGAACGAACTGATCTCTGGATGACATCACACTCCAAGTTGTTACAATTACAAGGTACCAGTGCATATTACACACTAATAATAAGATATCTTGAAAGGAACCAAAAACCACTGAATAATTAAGAAAACACAAACATTTGTCGTTAATTTTTTTTAAGAAAACTAGGCATGACCACAACATGTTTTTTATAGAAATTTAATCTCGGGCAATTCTTCCAAGAATACGATGAAATACTGTGCCCCAAAGATGTCAACTAAAAATGTATTATGTATTTGCTTAAGTGTTTAAGATGCAATTGAGAAGAAGCAAGAAACTTACTGAATTCACCGGTTGGAGGGTCATTTGAGCGTAGATATCGTCAGTATCTCTATCAGCCTGGAAGTATTTCAGAAGAAGTAAATAACAAGCATTACATAGATACTAAAAGGAGACTATACAAAACTAGGAAGTCAGCCAGTTACACTCACATGTAACGTAACATTATGAACCTGACACAGCAACTGAGACGGGAGTGTTGGATAGTTAGGGATGTGTGAATTTGAAATATTTTTAGTCGAAGTTGTCACCTGTAGTAAAGAAACAGATCAAATTAAAGTCGAGAAAATAGATCCACAGCTCTCAGTGCACAATTTGCTCATGGAAGGCCTCAAGAACATTGTATATAACTCTATTGAGAAAAAAAATCGTGAAGTCAATGCAGAAAAAGCGGGGGGAAACTATCTAAAGAGGTCATCAAATATTGCGAACCCTTCCTGCATAATCTAACTAATACAGCTCATTCAAAAAACTCAACGCAGGAAACCTCATGATATACAGGAACCAATTCCAATCAATTCAAGCATATGTACCAACAAAACCTCATTCAGAATAATACTCACCATGCATGTTCGCATAGCCATTATACAATTTCACAAGAGTAATTAACCTTAAGTCAATAAAGGTCAGTAATGAGGAACTGTAAGAGGGTAATCATGACATTCTCCATCTAAAAATGCTTGACATTATCATCTCTAATATAATACGGCAGAGTAAACCAATGTTAAAAAATTGTTGTGAAGATGCAAAGGATCCAGTTATCCTACGCAAGAAAAGAAGGTATAAAAGCATCAAAAGATAAAAACCTGCTCACTGTGCCCTTGAGGGAAATAATACACAAGGGTCCCGGGTTGCGGCAACGATACGAGAGGGCCAGCGCAGGCATGCCACAGCTCAGAGTTAAGCGCCTTTCTTGAACCTAATATCCAAAATTTACACATTTTGATAGAACTATTAGTACTAGAAAAAAAAAGGACAGAAGCTCAAACTACCAACGAGCTAAAGAGTAATAAATCAAACCCAAACATCGCTAACCTGAATCGCTCTGGACCTCTTCCAAGAGCCTCATTTCATCTAGAATTGCTGATGACTTACCTGCAGAAGTCATCTTATCTTCACCTAGCCAGCTCTCAAGAGTTCTTCCTACACTTAATTCAAATCGAAGCAAGGCCAAAGAGAAACAGGAGTCACTTCCATTCTAAGAAAAACACTAAAATGGCGTGCAACTCAAAAGACCCACATCCAAAAACACATCAAGCTCTCATTTTGCAAAGAGAAGACAGCATGCCAGCATCCAATCTCAAGAACCCACCATCAAAAACCCAACTTTATCTTAAAGAAATAGTCCCCACATGCCAAAAACATGCAGAGAGGCCAATCAAGGCGCGAGCACGCGAGAGAATAGTAACATTTGCAATGAGTGGGTTGAATATGGCTTCTTGTTGTCTTCACTCTGCTTTATTCTCTTTATTTTTTAGCGTCACAAAGATACCGATCTTTCAACGGAGGCCATGATTTTGGGGTTGTATCCCTTTTTCGCTTTCTGCTCGGAGTTGGGAAAGAGAGGAGAGCGGCTTTCTCTCTCTAAACTCTCTCCGTTTTCTTTTCTTTTTTGTTTTCGCCGTAGCTGGGATTATCGATTTCCACAATGGCAGCTTTAGTGGACTGCGAGCAGAAGGAGAGAGAGAGAGAGAGAGAGAGAGAGAGAGAGAACAGGGAAAGATGAGCTCTGCACGAAAGCGGGGACTGTAGCAGGCGAAAACAGAGGGAGAGAAAAGGCAGGGGGAGTTTTAAATTATTTGAAGGGTTTTTTTCTTCCATTTGCATCCTCTTGAAAAAAAAAACTTTTGAAAATTTGTGACTATTATGATTTTAATTTTTTGCAAGAACGTCCCTTCAACTAAAGTACATTCACATTGTCGTCTCTACTGTAGGTGAATATCCAGTTAAAGAGATTTCATTATAATGATGTCAAGGTAGAGACTTGTCAAAAGGTGAATGAATGATGATATTTTTAGATAAGCATATGAGAAGAAAAAGAAAAACTTAGTGCTTTATCCGTGTCACAATTATTTTTTTTAATAAACTTCTGCGACATTTACCATCGAAAAATTAAAACCTTTAGGGAGTTTTGAATTTTGAAGAAGGGGAGCAGTATAATAAGAAAATGTGTTACATAAGCCTCCACCAAAATATTTGCCAAAAATACTTTGGTCTCAAACTTTTCAAGTAGTAAAACAACTAAATACCTATTTATATTTGAAAAGTTGTGCAACATATTGTTCTTATGTTTGAAAACTATGTTCACACTAACTAGCAAGCTAGATTTAGTACAAATAAAATTTGGGTGACTAAATGTTAGGAAATTCAGGTTGCTGAATAAATGTTTGCCCCGGTTTTATTTCTCAAGAGCTCCATTTGAATGTACTAGCTATTTCTAGTCAAATGAAGTTATTGCATTTTCCATAAAAAAAAATTGGATGATTAAATTAAGTGCTAATAACATGTATTTTCTTTCTCGTTTTGAATTGAGTCCTCAAATATTTATCAATACAACATTCAAGAAGCTTGTAAAATTATTTTGCAGATATGGAATAAAAACATCTCTTCTTATACATTTAGGGGTTGTTTGGTTCGTTTTCTAGATATAGGAAAATGCATTTCCGGTACAAAAACACAAGTTTTGAGTTTTTCAAACTTTTCTAAGAAATAGATTGTTTCGCTTTGGTTCGCACAAAAAAAATGGTGGGAAACCAATGTATTTCTTTTTCTTGTGTTTGATTCACATGGAAAAAAAAAGGGAAAACTTTTGTTTATAGGGGCTATTTGGTTCGTTTTCTAGATATAGGAAAATGCATTTCCATGTACAAAAACACAAGTTTTGAGTTTTCCAAACTTTTTCAAGAAATAGATTGTTTCATTTTGGTTCGCACAAAAAAATTGTGGGAAACTAATGTATTTATTTTTCTTGTGTTTGGTTCGCATGGAAAAAAAGGAAAAACTTTTGTTTATATGGCAAAAAGCCGACGTGGCTGTAGTTTTCATCGATTTCACAAGGTTGAGGAAGGAATTGGGGGAGAGAAAAATTCTGATGTGGCGGCGATTTTCACCGAGTTTCTCTTCTTCAACCCTAGCGAACCAAAGATGGGAAAAAAACCGACGGAAAGCTTATATCCTACGTGGCCACGAAAAATCTGATGTGGAGGCAGTGTAAAACTTTTCCACCGAGTTAAAAAACGAACCAAACAACCCCATATGACAAAAAGCTGACGTGACTGCAGTTTTCGTCGATTTCACGAGGTTGAGGAAGAAATTGGAGGAGAGAAAAAATTCTGATGTGGCGGCGATTTTCACCGAGTTTTCCTTCTTCAACCCTAGCGAACCAAAGATGGAAAAAAAACCGACGGAAAACTTATATCTTACGTGGCCACGGAAATTTTGATGTGAAGACGGTGTAAACCTTTTCCACCGAGTTAAAAAACGAATCAAACAGCCCCTTAAAACAATGGTATGAAAACTCCTTCCATCTTTCAAGCATAAGTGATTGACCTGTGACTCATATCATAGCCCATAAACAAAGAATAAATGTTTATTTAAATATTGATATCACCACTCATTCAGCTTGCTCAATAGGTGGCACTAGGGGCACACCCTCAACCACACCTCCAACCACACCCCCTCTCTCATTTGCTACAATGCACCAGGCCCCACATGAGATTTTAAATTTTTAAAATCTCATGTGGGGCCCGATGTACTGTAGCAAATGAGAGAGGGGGGTGTGGTTGGAAGTGTGGTTGGGAGTGTGCCCCTATCATTTTCCTTGCTCAATATCTAACATTCCGTCATTTCCTCATTAAGACCTTACATGATGTTGAGGCATGTTCACGAGGTTCAAGTCATGAACATATGATGGAAACAAAAAAAAACTATGCTGAAATTATAATAATTTCTAAGCAAAAAAGAAAGATCCTTTGCTCTTCCAATCCTATGAATAGTGCAAATTATGATTTTGTGTGGGAAAATATGATAAAGGAGTCAAACCTAAAAGTACAGGAGTCTTGGTTGCGTCTTTGGTATAAACTCAGTACTGGTGATCGAGAATTTGACCGTTCGAGATCAATAATCTGATCAGGGAGTCCTATGCTTGGTGCCACGTGACCCACCACCACGTGTCTATTTCATAAGGACTCGACTCGACTAGTGAATTAAATCTGCTAAAAAAAGTAGCTAATTTAACTTTGGGTAAATTTCGAAAATGTTCGAATATTTTGGGGCGTTCCCCATATGGCTCTTCCTATTCTCTTTAAGATTTTTTATGATTTCAAACTATATTCCCTAATTATGTTGAACTTTGTAAATGATATTTCAGAACACAAAGATCATGTGTATTTTTTTATTTATAGATTAAACGGTGTTGACGCAAGGAAAAATCTAATACCTTGAGTCCACAAGATTGGACTCGATGTTGAGGGTTTCGTGATTCCCTTAGGTATCTGATGATAATCTTTGGTGGAGGCTGCCTGAGATACACATTAAAAAACGTCGAGTTGACAATGGTGGGATGTCCAGCAACACCCCTCTAATGCCTAAGTAAGACTTTTCATGTGAAAGTCAAAGCAATAAGAATTTAGATTAGATTTTTTAGAGATGGTTTTCATAGGCCAAGGTTAGTGGTTCCAAGGTGAGATCAAGATGATGGATCCCCTTATATGAGTATAGAGTGGAATAATTATACTGGTTGTCTGGCAGAGCACGGGCTACACATATCACCATCCTGACGACCAAGATAGTTATGATAGTTATTTGGCTTGCAATTAAATCCTTGTAGTAAGACCTCATTGGCGTCGGATGGTGCAGTCGACGTATTATGTAGATCAGGTTAGCTATGAAAGTTGACAATTAAAGACATTGTATGTTGAAGATATGATATGTTTCGTATCAATCATTTCTAATTAGGCAAAGCGTCATAGAACCATCCCTGGTTGAAATTAGGCATGATAACCAAATTGAGGTGAGATGTTGATGATATGTCATGGACCTTTTATCACGGTATCTGTGTTTTTTTAGGTCAGGCCCACGAATCATCACCATGTAATGAGCTTAATGTGGATGTAAAAAGACTAATCTCTAAAGATGATACAAGCCTTTTCTCAATATAAATCTCCATGGTCCTACAAGTGAGGCCGCAAGTATACCTCTCCATTTGAAAGGTGTAAGCTAATTGTTTTTAGAAAATTCTATTTGTAATGGAAAATACAGTTAATCCATCTATAGATGGCTTTACTAAAGTAAGTGACATTTAGAAATGGTTAGTGAGTTTGTCAAGAAGGTATGATATAGTAATAAAAATGATTTGGAGTTAAATGTAAACACCTAGTTGAATGACTAACGAAAATATGTAATATCAAATGGAGTTATTGTCCAAAGAATGATTTTTGCCACAATAAATCCAAAGGTTAGCTTGAAAATGTAATACACAGTGACATCTTAGAAAGTTCCCAAATTATCCTTGCCTTTTCGAATTTTCCTAGACTTCAGTAAACCCACAGTAAGTGCAAAAATTCTTAAGTATGGGGAAATAGTCTCAATACTATTCAAAAATTAAAATTAAAACCTGAGGAAGAAAAACACATACTCCCTTTTGACGGGTGAGATTTATATACTTATTTATTTATTTTTTTAGAACCCAGTTTGAAATTGAATCGAAGGCAGAGCTATATTGAAACTTTTAACCTTCCGGATCACTCATGGTGGGTGAGATTGTTTTTCTCTTAACTAGACATTTATCCTCCTAAATAAGTAGGTAATGGTGTGATCCCATAAGCATGCACATCCAAACTAGAACACGAGTTTATTGCATTTGAAAATTCACTCAAAAGGTTCTGAATATTAAAAACATTAAATTAAATGTAGAACACTCCCCACCCCCGAAATAACACCCCCACCCCCTTAACTGTTGGATTAGGAAGTGTGAAGACCGAAACCTGAAGAAGAAATCATCAAAGAAGCAGAAAAGCCCTGATCGGTCGACCGACAGGCTTGGACCGATCGACCGAAAACCCTGTAGGGATCGAGCCCAGGAAGTTCGCTCTGGTCGGTCGACCGACACAAGCTCATCGGTCGACCGACGCGAACTCAAGAAACTTACAGGAGTTTCGGGTCGGTCGATCGATGGTACTGAGCCGGTCGACCGACAACATGCACGAGCAGAATGTAAGAAACAGACGTTCTGGCCAGTCGACCGACGCCATTGCACCGATCGACTGACGTCGAGATTTCCAGTTTCCTAATTGATTTGTGAAACTGTTTTCGGCTGGGATACTATATATACCTTGATATGTTTTTAGGGTTAGTAGAACACGAAAAAGGGGGTTTTGACAGCATTTTGAGATCAGAGATCTTAGAGAGAGAGAGAGAGGCTTATTGCGAGTATTGTAATCTTCTTCAATTAATCAAAGTTTTTTTGGTGTGGCTCCCAAGAACGTAGGCACGTTTGCTGAACCTCGTTAAATTTGGTGTTCTCTGTTTGATTATTCTTTCCTGCAAGTTTTTCTTTTATTTGCTGTGATTTCATGCTTTCTTACTTTCGACACAAAATCCGGAAGGGCACGAGTTGTGTGTTCAACCCCAACAACTAGTATCAGAGCTTCGTTCAGAAGATTTGTGCGAGAGCCATGGAAGAGGAAAGCAAATCAAAGATTGAAAAGTTTGACGGGTTAGACTTCGCCTATTAGAAGTTGCAGATGG